TACAACTGTCAGGCAGAATATCAGTTTTCATGTGTATCCCTCTTCATGTGGAATGATCCTTGTTTTCCTTCCCTCACTACTCCCCCCACTGTACAGGCCTGAAGCTGATACATAAATCACTGTCCGAGCAGCAACAGCAGTCGTTTAGCAGCCAGGGCTCTCAGCACTCATTCCCAGTCTCTTCCTCTGTTCATCCCTTGCTCAACCTCAAACACCTTACAACCTTCATGTCCCAACCTAAAACGGTTTCGAATTAAAAAAAGAAAGAAAAAAAAAGAAGAAATGTTTCCACCTGTTACCTAGCAACAGATGGGGGGGGGGGAACTTAAAGGCAAACAAGGCTGCCAATGAAAAGTGTTTGAATGCACTCTGCTCTCAGTTTGACCCAAGACAAAGCAGGTGCTTATGAAGGGGGAAAAAAACAGTATAACGTGTGCGTGTGTCCTGTGCATTTCACATGCAATCTTAAAACAACAGCAGGCGCATTCCCTTCAACAAATGATTCATTTACATATTGCATTACCCTTGGATGGATTCATATGCTTTATGCATCGTCTGCAGCTTCCATGTCTGGCGGTCCATGTGTGCCTTCTTATCACATCACTGCTCTCTGGCAAGTCTCACATGTCACAGGCAGGTTTTTATCATGCAGATGCTGTACTTATATCATTTTGCCCTGTGAATAACAGTATCTACCTGTGCTTTGTTTTAGCCATTCTAGCATCAGAAATTTGTCTTTTTAAAGTTTCGCTTATCATACAACCAGAGACCGGCCCCTAAAATATAAAACATCTGTTGCTTTTCTTAACGTGTTTTCAAGTGTTTTCTATCTGTATTTTTTCTGTTTAACAAGCATGTCAAATAAATACAAGGGCCTTAACTGCTCCTGTGTTTGAGTACAGCAATATACCACTACATCATAACACCATCATTAGCTAGTCCTGCATCCCAAATCAGTTTTGAAATGGACCCAGTGCCTATTAGATCTAATTTTAGCTCACCATTTACAATCCAAATTAAAAAGGATGTTCTCCATAGTGACATTCTGCTTCTGCTCATTTTATTTAATTCAGTGTCCCATTTTTGAAGCACTTTCCATGTTCCATTAAAAATTCTTTGCCTGCTGCACTTGATGAAAGAAACATATTTAACCTCTTGGGCATGCTGTATTGTAAACACCAGCATGTATCGTCTCACATTATCATGCTTTAAGTTTATACGAGGTTATTGTAGTTGAGTTTAGAGTCTTATATCATACTTTTGCCCCAGGCATGATATATTATGAAAGTAGAGCAATAACTAACAGCAGCAACTAGGTATTTTTATACTCAATGAATCTTGGTTCTTGAGTTTAACAATTAATCACGTGCTTTAAATCTGAAGTAGTCTACTATGACCATATTTTTCACTTGTAGATGCTTTAAATTGTTTTCATTTTTTTCCAATTACAAGTCCAAAATTTGAGACGCTTGAACCATCAAATTGGTTGGATTTTATGCTTGAAGCCAAAAATGTATTTCTTATAAGAATTGTTGCCATATATATTTATAAAAGCTCTATGTGTGAGGAAAAACACTCGCTTTTCATCATACCAGATCATCCAACATAATTTTGCTTTACAATGTAAAAGCATCTCATGTGTCAGGGCAACATAGCAAAGTCCAGAGCCAGTGTTTCTGTGGCGATCCAGGTCTGATGGTGCGATATTAAAGCTCTGCACTGAAGTGTTGAGTTACAGGGTGCACACAACATCCACATTTACAGACCGCGTTGTTCAGAAAAGGTATTTTTATTGTGCACGTGATAGATGACAACAGGTGGACAATGACACACCAGCCGCACAGTGACTCATTTCTATGATGACATGCTCATATAGCTGTAATCTGTATGTGTTTGTTGCTATATGCTCAGCTGACGTTGTGTCTACTCATGCTGTGTGTTTTTTGATTATCTGTATGCCTTGTGCATGAAAGAGAGAGAGGGAGAGAGAGAGTGAGACAGGAGAACAGTCCAAGGCTACAGATTTAATCTGGCCGCTGTGGTCATGTGATTAATAGTGGCCAGGGGCCAGGGGATAGTGTAATTTATGGTGGTGGTGGGGGGTGGGGTGGGGGTGGGGGGTTCAACACATTTGGATGGTTGCTGCTCCTGAGGGAAATCTCACTCTTAACCAATCCAGTATTCTTCTCCATCCATCTCTGCCCAACTCACCGTTAACATCACAAGGGGGACAGCAGTGTTTTGGGCAAGCTAGCCATTTATATTTGGGACTATAAGGTTTATTTAGCAGATGTGTGAAGTTCAAAGAAACACTTCCAAGACATTTGCCTTTGGCTATCAACAAATAATAAGTGACCCAAACAGAAATTCCTTTACTTAAGGCCAGCAATGTTAGCACAGATCAAGGGGTGCGCACGCTACAACATGAGCACCAACACAGTGAATGTTAGTAATTTTTTGAATAAACTAGCTGATAGAGTCCATTTGCTGGTCACTAAGTACCAGTAAATTTTGTGTTAACAGATATTAAAGAGAATATTAACGGTCTGATGGGGGCTGTGCGTCATACATCGTCTGCATCATCCTTCTGGCTAAAGACCACATTACTGCTGTGGTGACCTCACTATCCTTGCTCTCCTTTTGGCCTCTGGTTTGCCTGTGTGTTTGTGTGTATGTGTGTGTGCATATGTTTATTTAATCCTCTTGAGTAAACCCCAAGTTACTCCCAGAACTGTAAACGAACATCACAGAAGTCAGGAGAAAGGCTAAATCAGCTGTGTTGAGATATTTTTGGGGTGCATTTCTGTTGTTTTCATAGCTGCCAATATCAAGCAGTGCTGATAGCAGCAGTTTTCCACTGACCTTCCCCACCAGCTGCTTACCAGCTTGCCCAATCCAAAAAGAGTCACCTGCCTTTCCACTGGCTGATTTTTCTGCTCTCCTTTTATTGTGGTGTTATTCATCCGGGTAGAGTTTAGATTTACGTTTTCCGGTGCATGGGCCATCTCAAGAGGACGATGGTTTATACACTGTAACGCTCCTTTCCTTCATTCTGTTTATGAGTCTTAGCAAATATGTAAATACAGTGACAGCGGCGTGAGCGCTCACCTCATAGCTCAGTTTCATTGTAAAAACTGTGGGATGCTCTCCAGCTTCACTACCAGCTTGTTTAGAGGTTAATGGTCCTGCCCGAGAGAGTCTACACAGGAGTCTATGAACAGTCTTTATGGTTACATCCCTTGCCTCCTAATTACTCCTCATTCCTGAAGAAAACTCTGTTTTTCCTCTCTGACATAGACTGTGCAGACATAAACATACCAGCACACTAGGGATTCATCCTTACTTAGATCTCACGCACGTGGACTCGTCTGGTGTCCCCCCGTCCTTGAGGACTCACCAAAGGCCCGTGTTTACTGGCCATTTGAATTTGACACCGAATCAATTATTGAATTGATTAGCATCTACAGAGACAGTGAACTGTCAGCCCATAAAGGGGCGGGTAAAAGTAACCTGAAGCTCACAATACTCTGTGGGTTTCACATGTGGTGGTATACGTCATTAATAAATAATACTGATCCATCGCATTAATGAAAGTTGATCGAAGTTCTATGTGCCTTTTCTTTGCAGAATTATTGTGGTTCCCTAATTAGCTTTACTTGGCTCTGTTTAACTTAGCCGCCAATAAGACTCGATGGTAACTTGCCTCCACATACAGCCGCATGTGAAGAGCAGGACTAGATAGATCAATATTACCATAGCATGACTGATACAAAATGATTGAAGGAGGTGCTAACATAAACATTTGAGTTGTTAAAAAAACTGTACAAAATACTTTGTTTGTTCTTTGTTTAAAAAATACATTAGCATAAATTACATATCTTAGGTCTAGTGGCCGTTCTGTGTGCAATCTTTTGATCTCTGCTTAAATCATTACAATGAAAGGCCAACTTTGATCACTTCATGATGAAACACCTGTTTATGGGAGTTGTAGTCGTCATTGTTGAACAAACTACATTGCAGATCTAATGTGAGTCAGACAGAAAATAGGTTCATGCATGAGTTCAAAATCTATAAATAAACCAGCTGTATGGAAATCCATAGATGTTACTGAGATCTTTATTAGGTGGGGACAGACATGAGGTCACAGTGACCTTTGATCACTAAAATATCATCAGTTTAAGTTGAGTCAGTACAAGAGTACAAGGCTTTTCTATCATGTAAAAATATCAAGAGGAGACAGCTTGCAGAAGCTTGCGTGATGAGAAGACCAGTTGGTTTCATTCAGCCACTCCTTATGACACCATCGGAGATGAGTGCGGGCACGATGCAAGTTAGCTTCACACGCCAGCTCTCTAACCTTTTTTAGCTATCAGATGATTTTGCCAAAGCATAACTCTGGTAACTTAGAACTTGCCAACACATGCCATAACAATGGTCACAAAAATAAAAAAATAATACATCACTTTTAATGTATAATGGTTATATAAGGAGTTATAAATAAGCTTAAGTAATGTGCAAATCACTAATTGCACAACCTATTCACTATTTCACTAAAATGTTCAGAATAGTATTAGACATCAGTGTAAGCTGATTTTTTTTTTGTTATTCTTAAGACACATTGTGTCCTTTAACTGGTTTAAATATTGGTCTTAACCTCAGAGGTAGTATAGTATTGTGGCTTTCCTTCATCTTAGACTGTTGAAAGGCTGTTGTTTTCTTGCAAACCCAGCCTCCCTGAACTCCAGTTTAATCCCTAAGTGTCTTCTAATAAACCAAACCCCGATGTTTTTATTGTGCCTCGAGGACCAATCCTGTGAAGAAAATAACCCCCGTTTGCCCTCTGATTTTACAACACTGAGATTTTGTATCAGCAGAAGTAGTTTACCCCCTCTCAAGCCATTACATCGTTTGCTGCCTCTCCTCTTCCTCCTCCTCCCCCCTCCCTGTCACTCCCCTGCTCTCTCTCGCGCTCTCTCGTTGGACACACGCGCACTCCCTTTCCTACCTCGCAGACGTTTGGGTGCCACCGCCGCTGCATCCTATTTCAGACTCTGACTGTCTCTTTTCTGTTGACTCATTTACTCCTCAGAGACAAACCGGAGCAAAACAAGAAAATAAAGAAAAGCGGAGGTGAGGAGGCAAGAAAGTGGCCGCTGCGGGGCGAACAACAACAATGAGTCGCTCCTGACTAAAATTGAATGGATTAACCAATCTATTCTGAGCTCTAATGAGATTAGAGACATGGGTCGCGACGGCGTGGTACCTTTCGTTGAGCTCCTCGGGGAACATTTTCCCCGTCAGCACTTCTCCAGACGTGGAAATGGCTTTTTTGATACGGAAGATGCCGCGCGTGCCAGGGGACAATAACAGACATTTGGATGCACGCTCACCTGTGCCGCTTTTCTGGCGCGCGGATTCCTAGAAGTAGAAGTAGTAGTGGAAGTAGTAGTAGCATTAGCTGTAGCTGTAGTAGTAGTAGTAGAAGAAGAAGTGGCAAAGGAGGACAACATGAAGTACCAGAAATATATCACGGTGATGCAGATGGCAATGGGAGTGACAGCCTCCAACAAAGACTGCCTCCCCACTAAGAGACAGCTGTGGTGAGTAGACAGGAGGTAGCGAGAGGTGCGCGTGTGGATGGATGCGTGTGTTGGTGCGTGGGGAAGGTAACAAATTGTGTGTCTTTTCATGTGGATGAAATAGTTTTAAAATTAGCCTCTTAGGTCATGAAACAACCCCCCCCCCCTCCTCCTCTCTCTCCCCTTTGCCCGTGTCTCGTGCGAAGTTGAAGCTGAGCAGCTGTTGGGCGGAAGTCGGCTAGCTCCATCTCTTTCTTTACCTTCAACAACTGTTTTCTCCACACACACACACACACACACACACAGGCACAGCAGGCATCTAGCCGGGGACAAGAGGCGCGTGGCTTTATGTGCAGCGTGCGTGCGTGCCCGTCCCTCTGTGTTTATCAATGTTTCACTTGGCGGACTCTTGTTTGTTATGATCGGCTGGCCAGGGTGAGTTTCACCTACGCAGCGGTCGGAGAAGCGGACAATACAGAAGCAGGTGTATTCACAAACAACAACAACAACAACAGTGGCAAACAATGCTGAGCGTCGTCCGCTTTGAAATCACCTGCGCGCGCGCTGTGTTCCTTTTCAGCAGTCCCCTTATTTGAAGCTTCCACGTGTTCTTTTTTTGTTCATTTGCATTTCCCCAGCAAGTCTCCGTGCTCAGATCTATTTTTGTCTTCTGATGTAGTAAAACAAAAATGTCGGCTGATTTCTCCACTCATCACTTATTTAGCAGCTTCATTCCTCCTGCATTTAGCTTACAACGCGATGGAGTGATGTGAATGGTTGCCTTTCAATGGCTGCTTATTTCTGCCTTTCTTTTCACATTTGTTGTCACCTATATTAATGTATACCATACACAGTTATTATTTACCCTTTTTTTTTTTTTTTTTTTTACATTTTCCCAACTCATCCAGGTGCATCCACCAAACTTGCACCAATTTTTTTTTTTTTTCAGCTTTTAGAAACATCTTTTACCACCCATTTCTCTATTTTAAAGGTTGAACCACCTTGTTGCCTACTGCTGAAAATAAAACTGTTGATTATTTAAGCTTACTGCTAAATGTAAATCTCTACGATTCACCCATTAGTCAACAGAAAATGTCCCCATTTTTTTTCCTCCAACCATATGCCCAACAATTAGTCTTGTAATTAAGCAGTAATGGTTAGATTAATCCATAATGAAAATAATCGTTAATTGCAGCTCTAATTATGATATTAAATAGAGAAAGACGAGAACCTACTTTAAAATGTGAAGATGTATGAAGAAAATACTGAGCATCATTGAACTTCTCCAATAACATTTGGAAATGTTACCATTTTAATTATGGTAATTAAGGTTTTTGTACATTTTGTAGTTTGTGTGTTAGTTGATATCAGGGGACCAGAGGTTGATATTGATGTGTTGCTTCATCTGGCTATGACAACATGAGAGAAACAACAGATGTTTTGTGGTATGATTATGTTTTAGGTTATATTAAGGTTAACTGTAAGTCTGCCTCTTCTGTTCATTGAAATGATGAGGCTAATAATAGAGAAAAGGGAAATCCAAATATCTTACACAACAGAGTAGTGTTCATACTAATTAAAGGCTCTTAATCCCTATAATGAGCACATCCAGTTTTTCTTCTCCTGTTATCCATATAGATCAAATTAAGCACAACATATATCCTTCCAGATAGACATTTCTTCACAGTGAGAAGGAAATAACTGTTTTTTGGTGAATGCCTGAGGTGGTTACTGGGATGTACATCCTATATTAAGAAACAAAAGGCTTTGTTATTTCTCACCTGCAACACACTAGACTGAATCTCCAGTCACCACATGGGGCCAAAAGGATTGGCTTTCTTCTCTTAGCTCATGACTGCTGTCAAACGTGCTGCAAAGGAGATAGTGGTGACTTGGTTTTGACACTTCTCCCTTAAGAGAGGCGCGGCGGTTTGTCTGGGGCCATCACTTCATGGTGGGGGAAGGGGCATGGCCATTAAAACTGGATTACTGTATCGCCTCCGACAGCCACTTTAACGAAGAGAAGCTGAGCAAGCGTGTGACTGCGGTGTATGTTTCATGAAGTCTCCCCATGCATGGACTAGCATGCCCTGTTTGTCTTTATTCACTGTGAAGTGGGAACCTATAAGATCAGTGGGTTTGCGTGCACTCAAGCAACACAATTTCAATGAAAACCCAGATTTGTATACTATAATGTCTGTAATTCACAAGACAATAAACAGGAGAAATTGACTGAAAATCAAAATGTACATTAATTATTTTATAGTCTTCCTCTATATCTGGATTTGTGTAACCTTTGAGTTATGTAATAGCAGTAGAAAAAGTCCATAAAATCTGCAGGGACCTTGATGATTTTAGCTCCATCCATTCATCCAACCACTTCTCATCCATTATTTATATTACTAGCTGTACTTCAGTGTTATAGTTGTGACATAAAAACTGTTTTCTCTGTCAACTCGGGAGAAGAGTTTTCCCACAGTATCTAAATATACGATTCTTTCCCTAATGCATCACTTTACATCCATTTCAAAATCTAAACCAGACTGAGCAGTAAATACATGCGTACATGATAACATAACAATGTTATGCTAAATGTTAAACAAGTGATCTAGTGTATACATGTGTCTCGGTTCCAACGACGTCATGCGGTGTAATTTAGAGTTGAGGTGTAGGAGTTCATGCAAAAACAAATGCTCATGATGAAACCTGAAACATGGCACAAGCTTTGGCTGTGATAAACGTTACATAAAAAAAATCAAGGTAAGAGCAAGCTGATCTAGGTACACTCTGGGTATTCTTAAGATGCGAAGGTAGGGTGTAGATTTTCCTTATAAACAAGGAGGCAGAACAGAGACAGCAGCAGATGAAGAGATAGATGAGGGGGTGGTTGTGCACCAGATGGTTTAATGATCTTCCTAAACACATGACCCCTTTGATTAAAAAACAACTCCAAACCATCCATCATATTTGAGGAGCCGTGCATTCACTGCCTGAAAAAATGCATTAGAATGAAACATTTAATATGTTTTTGCCTGTATGAATATGTGCAGATACAATGATTACTTTTACTGTGCATTTATATCTAGACAGTTAAATTAAAGTTCCTGTGAGAAACTTTCAATATATGTCGAGATTTACACCACTGTGGACAAAACAGTACCTCTCATACCTTTGCTAATTTTGTTCTGTTTCAATAATACAAGTTTTTGTGTAGTATGCTGTAAAATTTAATCCGATGTTTACCCCTTGGCAGCCTTAACAATAAGAAGTTATCAATCTTGTCGCTGATGGTCTTGTTAACTTTTGGAGATCTGAAAAAGGCATTAGTATGCAAGTTTTAATTCTTAACCATTCCTCACAGGAGCTTTGAAAAAACCTTCAAATTTGCCAGAGTTAACCGAAAGGCTTATGTTCAGCAGTTGACCTCCGACATGTACTGTAGTTTAGGAAATGCTGGGAAATAATACTACAAAACAATAAAAAGAGCAATTAGGCACACTAGATCAACATGACAACAATCAACATATAGCTTCACAGCATTAAACAATGCATGAGTATAATGAGGAATATGAAAGCAACAAACATCAAAATATCCATCCATCCATCCATTTTCTTCCGCTTATCCGAGATCGGGTCGCGGTGGTAGCAGGCGCAGTAAGTCAACCCAGACTTCCCTCTCCCCAGCAACGTTTCCCAGGCTAGACAGGATATGTAATCCCTCCAGCGCTTTCTGGGTCTACCCCGGGGTCTCCTCCCAGTTGGTCGTGCCTGGAAAACCTCTAAAGGGAGGCGTCCAGGAGGCATCCTTAACAGATGCCCAAACCACCTCAACTGATTCCTTTCGATGCGAAGGAGCAGCGGCTCTACTCCGAGCTCCCCCCGAATGTCCGAGCTCCTCACCCTACCTCTAAGGCTGAGCCCAGCCACCCTCCGGAGGAAGCTCATTTCGGCCGCTTGTATCCGCGATCTCATTCTTTCGGTCACTACCCATAGCTCATGACCATAGGTGAGGGTTGGAACGTAGATCGGCCGGTAAATCGAGAGCTTTGCCTTCAGGCTCAGCTCCCTCTTCGCCACAACTGTCCTGCACAATGCCTGCATTACTGCTGATGCCGCGCCAATCCGTCTGTCAATCTCACGCTCCATCACCTTCACTCGTGAACAAGACCCCGAGATACTTGAACTCCTCCACTTGGGGCAAGGACTCAATCCCCACCCGGAGAGAGCAATCCACCTTTTTCTGGCAGAGAACCATGGCCTCGGACTTGTAGATGCAAACTCTCATCCCAGCCGCTTCGCACTCGGATGCAAACCGGCCCAATGCCTGCTGGGAGGTCCCAGCTTGAGGAAGCCAACAAAACCACGTCATCTGCAAAAAGCAGAGACGAGATTTTGTGGTCCCCAAACTGGAAACCCTCCTCCCCCCGGCTGCTCCTTCAGATCCTGTCCATGAAGATCACAAACAGGACCGGTGACAAGGGGCAAACCTGGCGGAGGCCAACACACACTGGGAACATCAAAATACGTCACTGTTTTTAGAAACCTCTCTTAAATGTGGAATGGTATTTTGCTCTTGAGTGTCGTGGTAAATTGTTACAATTGTAGGTGTCCAACGAGAGAGAGCAGGGGAGTGACAGGGCGGGGGATGGAGGAAGAGGAGAGGCAGCAAACGATGTAATGGCTTGAGAGGGGCGAAACTACTACTGCCGATAAAAATCTCAATGTTGTAAAATTAGAGGACATACGCATCGTTTTCGGTGTGTTGGGGATTATTTTCTTCACAGGAATTGTCCACAAGGCAAAAAAAGACATCAGGGTTTGGTTTAAACAGATTTGCAAAAACTATCTTGTCCTTGTTAATTATAACCCCGGTTGTATTGATTGGTTTTAATGTGATGGTTGAATGGAGGTGTGTTTTTGCCTTTATTGGATAGGACTGGTTAGGACAGACAGGAAATGTCAGGAGGAGAGAATGGAGGATGACATGAAGCAAAGGGTAGAATCGAACCAACGATCGCTAC